GGTTAGGTGAGGGTGAGGGTGAGGGTGGGGGTGAGGGTGAGGATAAGGGGTTAGCGTAACTATTATATCGTTAATTACTCAGAAACTACACACACCGTACACTCATATTTTCGAGCCATAGAATACCCCGTCCAATAAATACTATATATAATCTCTTTATTTACTTGTCACATACGCGTACAGGATCGTTGGCGGATACGAGACCATCTTGTTCGGTCCGATAACTTTTTTGTACGCGTATGTGAGAGGGGGCTTATTGCATCTGTCCTGTGGAGGTGATGGTGAGGGTGAGGGTTAGGGTTAGGGTTAGGGTTAGGTGATCGAGGGTGGGGTGAGGGGTGAAGGTGAGGGTGAGGGTTAGGGTTGGGGTTAGGCGAGGGTTAGGGTTAGGGTTAGGGTTAGGGTTAGGGTTAGGGTTAGGGTTAGGGTTAGGGTTAGGGTTAGGGTTAACTGTGAATGATCCCTTGTACTATCGCAAGTTGCAGACAAACCAATGTACTTCTATTTGGCGGCGCTTACTCGTTGTTCTCCGTGTACTATAGTGTACTCGGAGAACGAATTGGGATCCTCTCCTAATGAATCCTCTTCTAATACCTACTAATAAGAAGATCTTGGCCTTTGATTTATCAATCAAAGGCCAATATCTAGGCCTTATCTCCCGCCTACTTTTGTGCATGAGGAGATCTTGGCCTTTGATTGATAAATCAAAGGCCAAGATCTCATTAGGAGATATTAGGAACCCTCTCATTAGTAGAGGATCCGGATCCGATTAAGTACAGCGGGTAGGTGCTGCCGAAATTTTGACGAAATAAAAGTACACTTGAACACACGTAAATACATATACACGCTACGTTTACATACCTAATGGGATAGAAGCCTTCCTCTGACAGCCGATCACACACACTTGTCCTATAACTTAAAATGATATATGTAGGGATATGCTCACTTCCATTAATTTTTAAATTCTAGATGCGGACAATTCCTGACAAATCGTTCATGGGCATACCACGTGATCGAAGGCATCTAGACACTCGATACAAGGATGGGATAGAAGCTTTCTTAGCCTACTCTGACACCAACCCTCTACGGTCACTCAGCGGGTTGATTTTTTGTCCTTGTAAGAATTGTAGGAATGATAAAATGCTCACTAGGAGTGACGTAAGTTTCCATCTGTCAATCAATGGATTTGATAGCTCTTATGTATTTTGGAGTCATCACGGTGAAGGCGTTCCGGTGATGCAATTAGAGGAAGAGTTTACTGATGTCGACAATCCGACAATTGACACAACTGATATGTTGGAAGATATTCTTACCGTGCCGTCTTCGAGTGATGTTAACACTACTGATATGTTTCAAGATGTAGCCCGATTGATGAGACTTGTTGAAGAAAACGAGTCACCGTTATACGAGGGTTGCACCGAGTTCACAAGGCTTTCTTTTATGCTGAGGCTTCTTCATATCCAAACACTTAGTGGGATGGCTGTTACACATTTCGAGATGTTATTAGACTTGCTCAGGAAAGTCATTCCAGGCGGCGAGAAGAGCATCCCCGCAACTTATTATGAAGCTCACAAGATTGTTGATACCCTGGGGCTTGATTACAAAAAGATAGACGCATGTCCTAATGACTGCATCTTGTATAATAAGGGTAATGAAGGTCTAGAGGAATGTCCGACGTGTCATGTATCACGCTGGAAAGAACATACGGGCACATCTGAAGGCATATCATCCAATAAACAGAGCAGAATCCCTGTGAAGGTTCTCCGATATTTTTCAATTATTCCTAGGCTGCAGAGGTTTTATATGTCTGCCGAGCTGGCTGAGAATATGCGATGGCATTCGACCGATCGTAAAGAGGACGGGAAATTGAGACATCCTGCTGATGGTGAGGCATGGAAGCACATCGATTGTATATACCCTGACTTTGGCAAGGAGTCTCGGAATAATAGGTTGGGGCTCGCTAGCGACGGATTTAATCCGTTTGGAGTAATGAGCTCTGCTTGGTCTACCTGGCTAGTGTTGCTGACACCGTACAACCTGCCGCCGTCGATGTGCATGAAGCAGCCATACATGATACTGTCACTCTTGATCCCTGGAAGATATTCTCCTGGAAATGACATTGATGTTTTCCTCCAACCATTAATTGACGACTTGAAGCTTCTCTGGGATGAAGGCGTCAGCCCTTATGATGCTTATGGTAAGGAGGCTTTCCGTATGCGTGCAATGGTCATGTGGACAATTAATGACTTTCTAGCAGATGCTTATGGTAAGGAGGCTTTCCGTATGCGTGCAATGGTCATGTGGACAATTAATGACTTTCTAGCATATGCTAACTTGTCTGGATAGTCGACGAAGGGTCAAATTGCTTGTCCGATTTGCATGTCAGATTATGAGGGAAAGTTCCTGAAATACAGCCGTAAGTTCTGTTATTGGCAACACAGAAGATGGTTACCTACAGGGCACAAGTTCAGAAAGTTAGTAGGAAAGTTCGACGGCAATCCAGAAAACAGACCGGCACCACCAAGGCTGACCGGGGAAGAAATATTTGAGCTTCTACATCCTCTACCTAAAAAAATATTTGGAAAGAAAAGATTCAACAAAGAAAATCCATTTGGGGTTAGGAGAAAAATATTGAAGCAAAATTGGAAGGGAAGGGGAAAGGGTAAGCAAACAAGGATGAGAAATAAACCTCGCACTGTCCAATCGCATGTGCGTGTCTCTAAGGGTACTGAACTTCCGCATGGATGGTCAAAATTCAGCATATTTTATCAATTGCCATATTGGAGAAGTTTAAAAATACGTCACAACTTGGATGTCATGCACATCGAGAAGAACATATGCGAGAATCTCTTGAACACTTTGTTGCAGGACGGGAAAAAAATCAAAAGATGACTTAAGGGCACGTCGAGACCTAGCAGAATTGAACATCCGTCCCGAACTGCAAGGTATAGATAAGGGTGACGGAAAGTTTGAACTCCCAGCCTCCCGTGTCACACTGTCGAAGGATGAGATCCACAATATGTGTTTATTTCTAAAGTCCGTGAAGACACCGGATGGTTATGCTTCAAACATTTCAGCAAATGTGCATATTGAGGACAGGAAAATTTTGGGACTCAAGACACATGACCATCATATTCTATTGCATCAACTTCTCCCGGTTGTGTTGCGACATGCTAAGAAGGAACTCGCGACGGTGGTAATAGAATATTGTGGTTTCTTCAAGCAGTTGTGCTCCAAGGTGATTGATGTCAGGGAGTTTGAAGAATTAGAGGGACGTCTAGCCAATACACTGTGTAAAATGGAAATTCTATTTCCACCCTCGTTCTTTACGGTCATGGTGCATCTCACAATACATTTAGCATATGAAGCCCGCATCGTAGGACCAGTTCAATATCGCTGGATGTACCTTGTGGAGAGGTATTTATTATTATAATGCTCAATTAATATTTGTTAAATTACGTTACTCAGTTTTATTTTGTCACAAATCATGAAATTATATGCTTGTAGGTATTTGGGTTTCATGAAACATTTGATGCATAATCGTGCACGTCCTGAAGGATCGATAGCAGAGAACTATATAAGTAATGAGAGTTTGAATTTCATCTCTCGTTACTTGAGGGGTGTGGAGACAAGGCTCAACCGTCCCTAACGAATAATTGACGGAACATTCTATAATGATCGTGGTGAGGACACTAGATTCCCAAGAATGGAGCTAGATCAAGCCCACTCATATATCTTGAGCAATGATACTACATTTAACATATACGCGGTGTAAGTATTTAACTGTTTGAATCAGATCATATCACATCACAATAACTATCTCTATTTAACTGTTATAAATGATTTTATTCTAGGCTTCACATCCGATATGTCCAGACTATTCTTAAATACAGAACAAAAAATAAAAGAGTTATGGACACACACTCTAGACAATTCCCTGCATGGCTGAAGGGTGAAGTAAGATTTATTTACATTTCTGATTTGTATATCAAACATGTGCATGCCAACAGATATTTAAACTATTTGTTTCTTTTCTTAAAGGTTGACCAACGTATTACGAATGGGATTAACCTGTTTGATAAAATATGTTTATATGCCAGAGGTCCTTCTAACGTGGTTAAGCGTTATGGAGGCTACTGTATCAACGGCTTTAGGTTTAACACCATCGGTTTCGAAGAGAGACGACAAACGCAAAATAGCGGTGTGTTCTGCTCCTTCTCGCAACTGTCATACGCTAGTTCAAAAGATCTAAATCCGATACAAGGTGAAATCTATTGCTACGGTCAGGTAGAAGACATTGTGGAGATTTTCTATGGGATTAATAATGAAGTCAGACATGTGATGTTTAAGGTTCGTTGGAGTGAGCTGAAAAAGGCGAAGGATGACTACGGTTACACACTCGTTAATCTTAACAAGGAAATATATCAGACTGAAAAGTACATGTTAGCTGCTCACGCAAAACAGTGCTTTTATGTCAAAGATATAATGAAAAATGACGAATGGGTTGTCCTTAAGAATCCGCCTAGATCCTACATTCATGAAGCCGTGTCTGACGAAGATCATGAAGATGTTATCTTGGCCGACGAAACAGTTGCTGAGTTTTCCTTGACACAAAATAATAATCTGGTGGAATATAATACCTGGTTATGATTTAAAAAGAACATTTATGTATCTGTTTGACTGGTTAACATGTATCAGTTTGTGTTATGTATTATAGTATTGCCTTTATATTATCTGTTTGACTAGTTATCATGTATCAGTTTGTGTCATGTATTATAGTATTGCTTTTATATTATCTGTTTGACTGGTTATCATGTATCAGTTTGTGTCTTGTATTATAGTATTGCTTTTATATTATCTGTTTGACTGGTTATCATGTATCAGTTTGTGTCATGTATTATAGTATTGCCTTTATATTATCTATTTGACTGGTTATCATGTATCAGTTTGTGTCATGTATTATAGTTTTGTTGGGTACTCATTATGTTTTCAAAGTATAGATGACAAAAGGATTACGTAAGAGAGCGCTTGATAGACTTTTTGGTAGACATTCTGGAGGCGACGCACATAGCTCTACGTTAGGTATTTTTATTTATTTATTATATCTGTACATTTTTATAAACTATTAATACGAGTCTAACATTATTTTTTAATATTTCCTGTGCAGGACGCATCGCTGCTACACATGACTTGCTGCCACAGGACACAGGACGAGGAGATGCTCCACCTGATGTGGAGACACTCGTTGATCCTACCCAGCATGCAGAGATGCCGCCGTCGTCTCCTCCGCATGCAGATGTATTGGAGGAGCGTCGATATGAGCCACATAGCGCAGCTGTAGAAGCTGCGCCACTACCGCCTGATTCTATTACAGATCAGTGAGCCCACGACCCGGCCAAGGTGAAGGGGGATTGGGATGATTATCATGATTTGCGACCTATCGCACAGCATAGGTATGAATAAGAAAGGCGTAGATGCCTCGAATTGAAAGGTGTGTATAGATTTTTATAGTTTATCTGTTAATATTTAATTTGTATTATCGATATTGATTGATTTATATTTCGCCTGAATTTCATTTTTTCGTAGGTACTGAGCGACCTACTAGGCGCGGCCGCAGTGGTACCAAGACACAGAACCTCATCCCAGATTTTCATCGGAGGGCCGTGATCCGATAGGAGAACGGCGTGCCTGTCGGGCCATTTGCTAACTCTTTCAACAATTTCCTCGCCGCTTTAGCCAGGAGACATGATTTCTTCAACATATTTTTGACGTGGAAGTCGCAGCGGATTGATGCGCTGGTGGTTTGTTGGAGATATATATGTGTGAGTCATTTATTTTAATTCTCATAATTATTAGTAATTTTATTATTTTGTTTAACACACTGATTTGTATCTCTTTTTTCATTGTATGCTGAAGCGATTTTTCTTTCTTGACGATTACGCTTGTGCCTGGACTTACTGCTTCACGCAAATCAATCTATCGTTCAAAAGGTGGCGGTTTGAGCTGAAGAAAAAATATTTTATTCAAAGAACAGAAGATTGGGAGCGTTACTGGCATCTTGACGAGCGCGTAGATGGAGTAGTTTTTTTGCACTTTGCGATTATTGGGACACGGCCGAAATTCAGGTATTATTGAAGTATATATTTTCGTTTATTGTTTGAAATTCTATATTATATCTGTTTAACATTGTTTTGCAGGCTCAAGCTGAAACAGCAAGGAGGAACTGCAATGCGCCCCGCAGTTACGAGCATCACGGGGGCTCCAGGTCCTTCAGCCAGCATTATCATCAATTGGCACTTGAGGTATATAATATATTAGCTCTTAGGTTATCAATTTGAGTATAATTTATGTGTTATGAGTTAATGATATATGTGAATAAAATAGGGAAGGGGAGATCTCGGGCATTTTGCAGATCGTATTCTGACTTCATGGAGTCCAAATTACGCCGATGAAGTGAAGAAAGCGCAGAATCGGGATCTGGCTGTAAGTAGTAGTTAATTTGTATATTTAATTTTTATAACAATGCATTTTAAATGTGTTAGAATTGACTGAGTTGTTTTGGTATATCGCAGGAGAAATTACATGCTAAGGTGCAGGAGCAATTATCACAGACTCAGGTCGATTCTAACACTCCGACCCGATTAAGTAGAGAGGAGGAGGATAGCATCATCGAGACGGTCATTGGACCGAGTAGGAAGAACAGATACAGGTGGAGAGGATCTGAGCATCGGCCGTACGAGTCCAGTACTAGCACCTACGAGTCTGCAGCTCCACCAGGATGCAGTTCTTCTCAAGACCCGACTATGGAGCAGCGGATGAAAGCGATGGAAGATTGGCAGTCGCGTCGGGAGTCGGAGCTACTCCAGATGGCGGAGGAAGAACGGAGGCGTCGGGAGCAGAGGGAGCTGGAATTCACCCAGTTTATATCGACTCTACCTTCTGATGCTCAGGAGGCATATAGGAGACGGTTTTTGGCGGATCAGGTAATATATATATATATGTATATTTCTTTTTTAATTAAATGAATTAAATATAAAATTCTTACTTAGTTACGAGTATGCCGTGTGACTAAATGATATCACACAAACTGTTACACACAAACTATATCTCTCTCCGAAACACAACTAAAATTATATACTTAATGTTTTTATGTGATGGTGGTGTTGATGGTGCGTGCATGCGTAGCGATGGTTGTATTGGATAGTGAGTTGGTTAGTTAGTTGTTATTTTGTTTTGTTGTGGGGCGTTCGTGTGTAGGGTCGTTGGTTATGTTGTTGGTTGGTGGGTGTTTTCGTCGTGGTGGTGGTGGTGGTGGTGATGATGATGATGATGGAGGGGGAGGGGGTGGGGGGGGTAGGAGTTTGGTTGGTTCGTGGGTGGGGGATTGTTATTGTAGTGGTGGTGGTGTTGTTATTGTTGTGTTGTGGTGTTGCATGTGTTGTATTGTCGTGGTCGTTATGTGCGTGCTTGATGTTGGGTTTGGTCGTGGTGGGGGAGGGGGAAGTGTGGGGATTGGGTTGAGCTGGGTACTCGTGCGTGCGTGTGTGCGTGTTGGTGGAGATAGGTACGCGTGCGTGCGTGTGTGCGGGTGAGGTTAGAGTGTGTGCGTGCGTTGTTAAAAACATGTGCGTGCTTGCGTATAATACATAAAAATATGCCATGATACTCTCTCTGAATCATATAACATGTAAGAATATGCCATGATACTCTATTATTGCTATACTTGCATGTCATGCCATGTTGTTTTATAATTTGTTACTTTACTGTAAAATTCAGTTTTTGATGATGTGTGTATTGCTCTATAACGTTTTATTTATATTTTTAGGCTGGGACTTCTCGACAAGGTGGAGTTGGTGATGAGGATGATGATGATCGGGACTGATTTTATTTGTTTTAACATTGAAAACAATGGGTGTGCTGTATAAATAACATTTATAATGTTGGGATATTTATTATGTTTTTAGTGAAATATGTGTTATATATGCGTGAGAATGAAATATGTGTTATATGTGCTTGTGTTGTACATGTTATTATTGTGAAAAATATTGTACAGGAATTTCTAATTTTCAAAAAAAAAATTAAAAAATTTTAGCTTACTTTTAGCGACGGATATTCCGTCGCTAAAAGATCTTTTAGTGACGGAAAACTGACACGCCAGACATGCACTAATATATGCTTTTGGCGACGGATTTTCCGTCGCTATATAAATGTCGCTAATAAATATAGATTTTGGCGACGGATTTTCCGTCGCCAATAAATATAGCGACGGTTAAATATATAGCGACGGAAAATATCGTCGTCAAAAAATTATACATAAACGACGGATTTTCCGTCGCTATATAACCGTCGCTGATATTTAGCGACAGATTAGCCATCGCTAAATTATGGCTTTACCTACCCTGATAATAGTGACGGCTTTTTAGCGACGGAATTTATATTTTTCCGTCGCTAAAACAATTAGCGACGGATTTTCTACTTTTGGCGACGGATTTGTCCGTCGCCAATAGTCCCCTTTGCAGTTATTGATTGTGCTCAAAATTTGTCCGTCGCTAAAACAATTTGTCCGTCGCTCAATGGTGCTCAAAATTTAAAATATTTATTGAATCTAGAAATATCAACTTATGGGAAGTTATTGATTGTGCTTATATTGTGCCCACATTAAAGAAATCCAAGTGGAGTAATCATGATAAGAAAATATTTTTAACGAACAAGCTTTTGTTAGAATTTTTGCTTAATGCTTCTAACTCATCCTTTTCTAATAAATTTGTTTATTTTGATAGTGCTTACAATCTTTGTAAATTTATTGAAGCACATCAAGGGGACTTGGAGGCAATCCGACAAGTTTTGAAGGATTTTTCTTCAAGTTCATGTGGAGCATCATGCACACGACCACAAGAGGATAATTCTTGTGTAGTAAGCGATTCCGATTCCGATAATGATTTATCTATTGATGAACTCGCTTGTGTATATGAGAAATTATCGCATGCCTACACTAAATTGCAAAATAATTTTATTGATCTCAAAAGCAAGTATATTAGTTTAAAATCCGATCATGAGAAGATAGCCTCCAATTTTGATATCATTTCTCAAGAAAATGTTACTCTTAAAGAAATTAATGATATATTAAAATTGGAAAATAAAAAATTGACTTCATCCATTTCTAGCTTAACTCATGCTAATAAAGAAGCCATGCTAGAAGTAGAATGCATTAAAAATAAATTTGTTTCTTTTAATAATAACCATACATGCTCTACTTCTATTATCAATGATGTTGTGACAAATAATAAATTGAATCTTGTGAAAAACCGCATATCATGCTTAGATTCAACTTTTAACACATGCATTGATAATCATAAGAAAATTTTGGACAAGTGTGCTAAATCTAGTGCTATAACTTATAAATCACATACACACTATGTACACTTGTATAGCAAAGTTTACAAGTGCTCCATTTGTGGTCGTAAAGACTATTTAGCTAAATTTTGCTATGTTGCACACAAATATAAAAATGTCAATGCTCCTTGTGCATCTCATCAAGTCTCTTCATCACATGTACACACAATATAAAAATGTCAATGCTCCTTGTGCATCTCATCAAGTCTCTTCATCACATGTACACACACATGCACCTATTGTTCATCACATCACATGTACACACACATGCACCTATTGTTCATCATAAGCATGCTCATGTGTATCATTGTGATCTTTATGGTCGTTTTGGTCATTTGGCCGAATATTGTTTTCATTTAAAAAGAAAATCTTATTTTCCAAATGTTTCTAGTAGACCATATGTTTTTAAATGTGATGTCTGTGGTAGATATGGCCACATAGGAAAGTTTTGTTTTGATAATGTTTCACATTTGCAAAATAATCCTAAAAGATCATCTATGTTTGAAAATGTTTCCCGTGCACGAGCTAATGGTCCATAAAAACAAATGGATCTCTTTAATTGTACAAATTATAATCGGAAGGGTCATTTGAGTAAATATTACTTTGACCGTGTTAGTGCACCACATATGCCCATGAGGGTTCATAACCCTAGGGCTTTGAGCTTAAATGATAGGGGTCATATCCCTAAACTTTTTGGTACCAAGAATTCTTAGGTACCAAAATAAATTTAAATTTTAAACCAAGTATTTTAGTGTTTTTCTTTTTCCTTTTCTTGGTTTTGAAAATTATGTTTTAAAATCTTTTGGTTATGAAAACAATTTTTTATCAAATCTTTTGTTTTCATAATTTTTAGTCTTGAGTTTACCGGGTGCTTAAATGTTTATATGGGTTGTTACTAGCTCAAGAGCTAGATATGATTGCCTCTCTTAATTTTGTAAAATCAATGATGGTTTGGTTTTATACTCTTAAAAAAAAAATTAATCCATAGTTCATGATTCTTGTATGTTACTTTTTAACTACGAAAATTTTGCTTTGATTTGTTCTTTTGAATTCATTATATAAGCATAAATAGATGATTCAAATTTCAAATATGCTTTATAATGTACTCTATGAGTGGTTTGATCAAGTCCTACAAAGAAAGTTTTCTTTATTGATCAAACATTGTTTTTGGATTTTGATGCAGCATAATTATGTACCAAAATTATAAGTGCACAATTGATCAAGTTATAGTATAAAAAGTTATCAATCCCACGAGGAAGGTGATTTTAAGAGATTATTAGAATAGGTTCTTATGTTGTGTGCGTGACAAATATAGGATTAAAGAATAAGTGTGATTGTGATGAGTGATTGTTGTGAATATATGCAAGTAACAATAAATTAAATTTTAGAGAAAAATAAGAATCAAAGAATAAATGAAATCACAAGGCAAGAAAGAAGAATGAAAGAAATAAAATCAAGAATGAAAAGAAAATTCAAGAAAGTCAAGATGGAGGATTCAATTTGAGATATGAGAAATCTAGAATTTAATCCACTAGCTAATCTTAATTACAAAATACAAACTATTCTCTTTTTATCATATTTCAACTTAGATTTATTAAGCATAGACTATCAAACCATTTAAGAAAAGTATAACCTATCAAATTATCATCTAAGTCAAAATTACTATTCATGATAAGAACAACAATAAGATAGTAATCCTAGAATTCATAAGCATAACCTATCAAACCATTTAAGATAAGCATAGATTATCAAAATCTTCTTCTACCGATTAGTTTTCTAGTTGATTATCCTAAACATGAATATTTTAAGTGAAAGAGAATAATCCATATAATATAAAAGAAATTAGATTAGTTTCATACAACTCTAAGATTCCTACAAGAATTAATTTCACATCTTAAGAAATAAAAACAAGAAGAAAAAGAACTAATTACAAAAATAAAAAGAAAAGAAAAATCTAAACTATGAACAAGAATTAAATCTAACTACAAAGAATTAAAATCTAAACTATAAAATAAATTACAAAAATTAAATGCAAGAAAATAAATCTACTCTACAAATTAAAGTGCAAAAAGAAATAAAAAGATAAGAAAATAAATCTACACTACAAGCATGAATGTAAATCTAACTAATAAGCAATAATAAAGAAATTACTAAAAAGAAATAAAAGAGAAAAATAAAAGAAATGCAAACCTTCAAATTGCTCTTCATCTCCATCATCATCATTCAACAAAGAGGAGAAAAGACAAATTTAAACTGGAGAAAAATTATTATTATTAATTACAATAAAAGTTATAATTTTTGGAAGGCCTTCTCAATTAAGAGTAGCCCTCCTCTTCAAATAAAGTTACAAAATTTTTCACACCTCTAACCCCTCACTCTCTATCCCTATTTATTGTAAACATCAGTGAATGAGAGTCATTGGATCAAACTTGAGCCCCAAGACAAGCAAAACCAGTCATTGACTCGCGCTACAATAAACTGGCATCGATGCAAGCATCGATGCTGGTATCGATGCCAGCATCGATGCCCACATCGATGCTCACATTGATACCTACTATATCCAAATTCTGATTTTATGGATAGCTTCGTCTCGTCGAGATAGGCGATTTTCGTATATTATATGTTGAATTCCGCCTTCCGAATTAGGAGATATCGTCATTTCTTTGTGGCCAACCATTTTGAATATGATTTCTTTTCATATTGGAATTTTTTATTTTCTCCGGCTTCTACGGGCTACTCGGCTTGATTCTGGGCTTTTGGATAATTTGGAAATTGATTTTCCAATGGGCTTCTTTGCTTCATTTCTTCATTTAATCAATAGGTTTTTGTTGAGAGATGAGAGTTTGAGATTTATTCTTTATTAACCTGCATTTAAAGATAAAAACAATTATTAGTGGCATATTTATTCATATAAAATAGATAATAAGGGTATAAAATTGTAATAAAATGTGATTATCAAATACCCTCATACCTAAACTTCTGCTAGTCCTCTAGCAAAGAAAATAAAAAGAAAATCCTAACTCTCGCAGGAATCGCGGTTGTATTTAGCGCATACAACAAGCCTTTAAACCCCTAGGTTACCCTAGTGGACGAGTTGTAGTCTCATGAGGGTTTGCAGTGAATGTACCCACAAAATTTGCTTAACTTACCAAGTTAAATAAGTAAGTAAATAACTAATTTTCTTTGATATATTTAGACATTCTAATTGAAGCTAGTTAATAATCAAGAAAACGTTTTTATTTATAACTCCAATGTAAATCCCTTAGAAAATCTTTTTCATTATAGCAATACAAAACTAAGTCAAATCTTAGAGATTTAATTTAAAAGTTTTGAAAAGAACATGCTAACTCTTTGTTTTAAATAACTTTCAAGTTTCTTGATCAAAAATTGTTTTTCAAGACCATATATACAAAACAACAATATATATAAAAAAATGGTTAGTGTTATATATATATATATATACATATTTTTTTCCACTCTCTAATTCTTGGTGATTGTTTTCTATTTTAACGGGCTTTCTAAGTGACCATTTAACGAGTTTTGGGCCAATGAATCCCAACCCAATTGGG